GGGTTTTCCTCCCCCCCCCCCTACTTTCCCTTCTCATTCGGCCATCCTGGATCCGAACCACCCCTCCCCCTTTGACGGCGCCCGCGCTCGATTTACTAGCGCTGCCCGTCGCTTTCTATCGTAGACCTCCCCCTACGCCCTCCGCTCACGCGGACCTCCTCCGGCCCTCCTTAGCCCGGCCCGTTACCTCCCCATGGCCGACGACGTGTCACAAGCCGCCGAGGAGGCGACGACCTCGGCATCGGACTCCACACCCGTGCCGACGGACCAGGGCCACTAGCCCTAGGGGGACCTGCACACCCTCATCACCTCCCTCCTTGCGCCCTTACAGGCGCAATTGGCGACTCTTGCTGCTGGCCTGCGACAACTCCAAGATGTTGGCCATCCTTCCTCTCCCCACTCTCTTTCTCCTCCTGGCTACCAGTCCGGGTCCCCCGTCCTTCAAGATGGTGGCCACGGCGGAGCTTCCTCCTCTGCCGCCCCCGACCCGACCATCCAGGTGACCGTCCACGCTCCTAGCACGACGGCTGCCACGGGCCAGGCCCTCCCTCAGTCTACGGGCGCACCCACCCAGATTCTGCTCACTACGGCCACGGGACAACAACCCGCTACCATGGTCTCAACTTTTCCGGGTGCTCCGCTTCTCCCTCCCCTTCGCACGACCGCAGCGGCATCTGGCTCTCTGCCCTGTGGGATGCCCCGCGCCGCTCGTGCATCCACTCCTCCCACTCTTCCTCCTGCCACTCCTCGCTCGATCTACATCCAACGTCTCGAGGACGAGCTTGCCCAGACCCGGGCCGACCTTGCCCTCTTACGCCTTCAGCCACCCCCACCCTCATAGGTGGTCGCGCCTTCGGGCGCACCCCCTCCTTCCTCTACCCTTCCTTCCATGCAGGCTCGCTTTCCTCGCCCTGCACCCTATCCAGCCCCATCCTACCGTCTTCCTATTCCCTCGGTTGCTGCGACCTCTTCTACCACAGCTCCTTCGCAGCCTGCCGCTGTTGCCCCCGCCGCTCCCCCATGCGGCTCGGGCGCACAGTCAGTTGCGCCCCTTTCTCCAGGACTTGGGCCGACTTACTCAGCCGTGGCACAGGCCTCTGCTCCCCGATCCCCTCGCCGCAAAAATGGTGGTGCACACTCGTCCGCTTGACGGACATTGCCTTGTATGACGATACAGGCATACGCGTGTCTCGGTGGCTACAGTCTGCCACCAGCACCCTCCAGCTCATGGGCGCCCCACCCGACACGTGGCTGGGTCACCTCTCCACGCGCCTGCGTGGCGGTCCTTTTGACGCCTGGGAGGATTTCTACGCTTACTCCCTTCATGCGGGTCGGACTCCGACCTTCATGGATTTCCAAGCGTTCCTAGAGGATCGCTTCGGAGCCCGACATGACGTGACTGACGCCTTCGAGCGTGTTGTCACTACACGCTGGTCCGGCTCCGGTGGCGCTGTCGGCCTGGATCGCCACATCCAGGTCTTTCAGGACGCCCTCATTCGAGAGTACCACGACGTTTTCCCATCGTCGGTCTCGTACGTCGGTATCCCACCGATGCCCGACGTCGAGCACTCCATGCAGCTTGTGCTTGACTATCGTGTTCACCACCAGGCACTCTACAGACTCTCGATTCCCGAGGCCACCGAACTCAAGCGTCAGCTTGAGGAGCTCCAAAGACTGGGTTTCATTAAACCCCGCAACTCCCCGTGGGGTGCACTCGTCCTCTTTGCTCGCAAAGCGGATGGAACTCTCCGTCTCTGCATCGACTATCGCGGTCTTAACCACTACACGGTTAAGAACAGCTACCCCATGCCTCGTTTCGATGAGCTGTTCGACCGCCTAGCAAGCAACCGCTTCTTTACGAAAATTGATCTTCGTAGCGGTTACCATCCGATCCGCGTCGCTGCAGCGGACCAGCCGAAGACAGCGTTCCAATCTCGCTTCGGCCCCTACGAGTTTACGGTGATGCCATTCGGCCTCACCAACGCACCCGCTACCTTCCAGAGGGCGATGAACGACATCTTCAGGGACATCCTGGAGCAGTACGTTCTCGTCTACCTCGACGATATCTTGGTCTACAATCGTACCCTTGAGGAGCACCTCAGACACCTTCGCGATGTCCTTGACCGCTTGCGCAGACATGGCTTCTATGCCAAGCTGAGCAAGTGATGCTTTGCACAACACAAAGTGGGTTTCTTAGGACACTACGCGTCTGACCAGGGTCTCCACATGGACGACGCGAAGATCACTGCTATTGCGGAGTGGCTCGTCCCCACATCCGCCAAGCAACTTCACAGGTTCCTAGGCCTTACCAGCTACTATAGTAATTTCATCCAGGGATATGCTAGGTATTCCTACATCCTTACCTCCACCTTCCTCCGGAAGAACCCGCCCTGGGCTTGGACACCCCTCCACGAGGACGCCTTCCGCGCCCTCAAGAAGGCGGTGACAAGCGCACCGGTTCTTCACCTACCCGATTTTGATCGCCCTTTAACCTTACCACCGATGCATCAGACTTTGTCGTAGGAGCAGTGCTTTCTCAGATTTTCCCCTCCTCTCCTGATTCCTCTCATCCTCGTATCCCTCGCATCCCACCCCTCACCCCTGCCACTGCCTCCCGCCTGACGCCTACTCGTCCAGCTACTGACGAACCTTCTATTCTCCTACCATCGCCGAGGTCGGCACTGTCGAGTATCGCTCAGGTGATTGTCCGATAGCCTTCTACTCCCGTCAGCTCCTGCCCGCCGAGATAAACTACACCGCTGATGAACGTGAGGTTCTCGCAATAGTTTATGCCGCTCAACACTGGTGTCACTACCTGCACGGGGCACCATTCACGGTGCGAACGGACAACTTTGTTGTCCAGGCTTTTCTGACAAAACCGAAGCTCACTCCTCAACAGGCTCGCTGGTGGCGCGACCTATCTGAGTTTAGTTTCACCACTGAGCACATCAAGGGTGAGACTAATCGAGTCGCAGATGCCTTATCCCGACGCCCTGACCACGATCAGGAGCAGATCCAGCTCGCTTCCATCTTGGTCACCTCCGTCCACCACTCGGTGATCGACGAGTTTCGCACTCAGTACCGCCACTGCCCCGACTATCGCGACATCCACGTGACCCTTCGGAGTGGCAAAACCGTCCCGAACTACTCTCTCGGGGACAACGGTCTTGTGTACTGGCACGGTTCACAGGGCACCAGAGAGCCCCGTATTTGCGTTCCCTCCACTGGATAGCTACGTGTCCGGGCAGTAGCAGAGTTCCATGACCAGGCAACCGCCGATCATATGGGCTTCCACAAGACGTTGGCTCGTGTGAGCCGCCTGTACGTCTGACCAAAGCGCAAGGACTTTGTTAAGGACTATGTCGCAAAGTGTCCCACCTGTCAAGAGGTGAACAATGCGAACCACCTGCCTTATGGATTGCTACAATCTCTTCGCATCCCTAAGGGTTGTTGGCAGTCCATCTCGATGGACTTTATCGGTCCTCTTCGTCCTCTGACCCCCCGCGGTCATAATGCTATCTTGGTCGTCATCGACCGCTTCACGAAGCGTGCACGCTTTGTTCCGTGCCTCTACGCCATCAGTGCACGTGAGGTCGTCGACATCGTGTTTGACCGAGTCGTGCGTGACCACGACTTACCTCTGAGCATCATATCTGATTGTGATCCGCGCTTTAGCAGCCGATTTTGGCGACGACTCCACGAGGTTTACGACACCCAGCTCCGTTTCTCCTCGTCTTACCATCTTCAGACGGATGGTCAGACCGAGGTCACGAATAGGACTCTCAAAGATATTGTCTGAAAGATTGTTCGTGACGACCAGCAGTGGGATCTGCATCTTGCCCACGCGGAGATAGCCTACAACCACGCCGTCTCGGCAGCCACGGGGATGTCGCCTTACTATTGCGACCTCGGCTATCACCCTCGTGTTCCCGCGGACTTCTTTCAACTGTCACAGATGCACCCCGACACGAGTTGTCCCACGCTGGATGATTGGATTGCACACATGACGTCGATCATGAAGACCGCACATGAGCACATAGCCGCTTCCCAGACTCGCACGGCAGCACGTGCGAACCGACCGAGGATGGATCATCCATTCAAAGTCGGTGATGATGTGCTTATCGACCCCGCCACTTACAGCTCAAAGCAGATATGATTCGCAAGTTTCAGCGTCGCTTCTTTGGCCCATGCCGCATCCTCCAGGCCTTCGGTTCTCATACGACATCTAGCCCGGTCAGCTTCCGTGTGAAGTTGCCCGACATCCTACGCCAGGCTCGTATGCACGATGTCTACCACGTCTCGTTACCTTGTCCTTACCGCAGACCGTCTGAGCGTTTCGCTGGACGACCATACGAGCGSCCTCCACCCATCATGGTGGACAGCCACGAGGAGTTCCTCGTTTCAGACATCATTGGTCGCCGAGTCACCGACGATAACCCTCCCCACGTCGAGTATCTCGTACGTTGGAAGGGTTACCCTGATGAGGAGGCTACCTGGGATCCCCTTGAGCACTTGCAGCACACTCGCATGTTGGTGCGTGCCTATGACCGTGCTCGTCGTGCTGGGTTGACTGCTCCTCCTCAACCCACTGACCCTCCTCCTTCTCCCTCGGCTGAGGAGACCGCTGAAGTCGAGCCTGCTCCATCTGAGGTAGACCTTCAGCAGCAGCCGGATGCTTCTGAGCGTCCGCAGTGCACTCATCGTCGTCCTGCTCAATACGATAATTGACTATGACTTACCTTCCCAAGTCATTGAGTTCTCAGTACTCCATCCACTCCAGTTTTGCTACTTCATCTCGTCGACGTTGCGACTCTTCCTCGACGGCATTTCGGACTTCTCATCGTGGACGTCATCGGCAGCTTCATGGACTTCTTCACAATCAGTTCTGCCTACTTCAGATGTCTTCACTCTCTATCCACTTTACCCCGTACAGTTCTCTGGTTGTGTTGCATGATGGTCTCCCTTCGCCGGGTTCCTGTGAGTTGGCTCTCTCTTGGTATACGCATAGGCATCGGGACCAAAGCGTTGCCCTGGCTTCCCAGCTTACGGATTTAGCTCCGACTTCCCTCACTTTAGTAGTCATTTGCATGATTTCCTTACCCATCACCATTCTACCCTCTGTCGGCCCTCACGCCCTAGTTAGGCAGCCCCGCATGCTTCATCTAGGTGCGCCCATTATACCAGGCTCCCTTGTTCCCTTGCATGGTCGACCCTCCATAGCAGTCACTCCTTTAGTCGAGCATTACCCGCCCAGATGGTCTATCTGTTAGGGTCATTGGTTTTGTTCGCTCCCAGTTCCCTACCCTCATTGAGCCTGATGACATGTGTCTCCATGTCACTATGTCTGGATGCCCTTAGGAGTTATCGACCCCTAGGCTGCATTCGCCACCCTCAGAGACCATCCCACCCTTTGGTTTGCGACACACTTCTCCTGTGACATATGGTTGACTTGTTGTTGCTTTGTTGCTCTCAGACTGAGGCTACTGCCTCTCACATTTCTAGGATTTAGTTGTTCTGCTTTTGTTGTTCTTAGGACTTATACACTAGTCAGTTGCTTCCAGTTTGAGGCTACTGCCTCCAACATTCTAGGATCTAGCTGTCATTACTTTCAGCTTTCCTAGGACATGTACGCTAGTTAGTTGCTTTTGCTTTCACTTAGGCTGTTAGTTGTGACATTGTTGTTTTGTGACATTTTCTATTCTAGGTTGCATCGCATGGACTCAACATAGAGCTTGCTCCTCATCCTAGACTACTTAGGTTTTCTTTTTCTTTGGTAGAGTTCCTCTTCTTGGCGGAAGCGTGCTTGTATCTAGGTGATCCATCACAGGCCAAGGATCGTGTAGCGGACCTCTGGTTGGCCTGTGAGACCAGCCCCTTGGCCTGTTCTCACAGGCCTGTGTTCTATTCGCGGCAGTCCAGTCCAGGCCGGTACCTCTGTCGGTACCAGCCAGTCCAGTCCAGTCCCGTCAATCCGTTGGGGTATACCCCAGCTCTTGTCTATTTTCATCATCATTCTGCATTCGCACAGTTTGGAGTACGTGCATTGGAGTCTGGAGTGGGAGCTGCGCTGTGCCATCTCGCTCCCCTTCTTCCTCCATCTCCATCTCTATCCCTGGTGGAGCACCACACCTGGTGGGTCCACCACAGGTAGGCCTCTATCACTCAAGTAGTGGTAGGAGTGTCGGGTACTGGAGGCCGAGCAGAAGAAGACAAAAAGTTGGCATTTTTAGAGGCCCAGTAGCGGTAGGATAAAGGTAGGCCGGTACCAGTCCAAGTAGCCCGGGTCTAGGGCATGTCCGGACGATAGCAAAGCCTGCAATGATGTTTCCCTCTGAAAGGGAGGAGATACCGATTGCTGGGAGGCCGCTCGGCCTAGGAAGTCACCGCCCAAGAGGCCAGCTATATCTTCCGGAGGAGCAAGTAGCTCCTCCTCATTTGTGGTATGCAAGGATTGGCGACATGCTGCTGGAGCACAGCGCTGGACTGGTACAACACTGCCTGGAGGTGAAAGGCAGCTGGGCGCTCAGGCTGGCTATGGCGAGCAGCCCAACATGAGGAGGACGAAAAAGGGGGCGAAGGAGGAGAGTGGCGAGGCACCTACCTGGCTATGGTGGACACCATCTTCATCACCTTGTTGGGCGCTGCATCTGGAAGGCCCCAGTTGGGGTAGTGCCGCACCAAGGAAGCTCGAGGCAGAGTCAGGC